GGAACAGCTGGTAGTTTCGAACTGCTGACCTTGCGGTTCCCAGCCTGATTCGTAACCACTACGCTACCAGAGCTCCTTGTCTGTCTATAGTAGTAAGGGATATGTGTTAACTATTATTCCTTAAAACTGAAGTATTCTTACTTGTGGGCTATTTTTCTAAGCACTCAGTCTACCTCAGGGTTGGTTTGAATTGCAAGGTGGTTGGTTGAAACTCACCAGCTGCTCTTTGGAAACCACCTTATTAGGGTCCCTCTGAGTTGGAACTGACTTGATGGCGCATAAGTTTTTCTATTAACAGTTGCCTCTCATCTCTGTGTGAGATTGGTTTTAGGACCCCGAGGATACCAAAATCCTAGGATGCTTGAGTACCTTATGTAAAATGGCAAAATAGTATTTGCATTTAAGTATACTTCAATTCATCTCTAGATTACTTATAATACCTAATACAATGTAAATACTGTGTAAATGGCATTCTGTGCTTCCTATTAGCCTTTGAGGGTTTGCTTTGACTACTTAATTGCTGTGTCAGTTCCCCAGTATTTTTGTGGTACAGAAGGGCTGATTCTATGTATGTTTCTGAATTGACTTAAAGTTGCTATTGTTTGCAGTCCTATTTCAATCATGCTTTAAGCAATGACATTAATTGACATAATTTATATACTTCACATTGGTGGCACACTATCCCTAAAATGTTCTACCTTTCCCATTATGTTTTCATTTGTAAAGTGCTTCAGTTTTTATTTAGCTTATCTGTGTGAATGTTACACTGCAATTGAGAACGTCAAACTTTATGTATTTCTCAGTATTAAAAAGAATTCTATTTTATTTTGATTTATCTAAAAAGTAATTGTGAATATGACAAAATGTCATTTTTCTCAGTCTTGAAAACTGTACCTGGAAGTGTGCTGTACACACTGGGTTGTGATAAATGTTTTTAGTATGATGTTCTAATTTGATGTTCGTAATTATTACTAAATTACGATTGAAGTAGTAATTCAAGATTTTAATTTTAATTAGAAAATGCTCTTTTGACACAATTTTAGTAATGTAACCATCTCATTTTTGTTTTCTTTTGTTTTTCTCACTCTAAAACAGTGATTCTGAAATCTTAGAAATGTAATTGTACCTTATTTAGGAGCGGTTTTGTAGGTTTTTTTTTCGGTTGGAGCAGTGATTGATGGATATACATTTAAAATATTTTTTGAGTACTTGATACAGTGCTTACACTGTTTTTATACAAAGGAAAAATATGAGGCATAGTCCCTGACCTCATACTTTGGAATTATGAAAGACAAGACTCTTATAGACTCTTTTCTTTAGTACCTTCAGGTACTGAATCTTAAGAGAAATTCCTGCAAAATCTCTCTCCCTAACAAATGACACAAGAAACCCATCTTTTACACATAAATATCAAGCTATATGTAAAATAAATGTTGACCCATATTTTTACTTCCACTGTATTGAAATTTTTTAAATACATTTTATTTTCATTTATATAGTTCCTGCAGGCTTTTAGAAAGCAAGGATGCTATAGTTCTAGGAACTCAAAGTCCTTTTAGAATGTATTGAAAACTAGATGTCTGCCTGAAAACTACATACAATCACAGAATTCCGCATGTGTTAATGTTCTTTTACCCTAGCTAGCACCTTAAACAACCACAGCAATAACTTAGAGGTGGTCTCAGAGACTCCATAAGAAAAGCACTGGACTTCGAACAGCTTGGTTGGCGGTATGAGCCCACTGGTCATTCCTCTAGAGAAAGTTGAGTCTGGTCCTGCAAAGATTTAAAGCTGCAGAAACCCTAAACAGGGTCTCTATGAGTCAGAACCGACTTGGCAGCACATAACAACAGCCTCAAAGCATTTTTTGAGCCCTGACAACTCATTTTTTTCTGAGGAAGGTAAATGTTAAAGAACAACCTCCCCCCCACCCCCAAATAAAACAAAACAACAAACAAAAAACTTCCCCAAACAAAAGAACACAAGGTAGTTGGGAGAGTGGGTTAAGTTCTCTAAACTTTGCTGCCAGCTTCATTCTCTTTTTCCTACCAACTCCCTCCTCTCCCTTTTCAGTAACTATCTCGATTTAAAAGCTTTCTAAATTTGTTTTTTTGCTTGGGGACAGATTTAAGTGACACCTCTCCAGATGAGGGTTTGTTAGAGGGCTTGACTATAGAAGACAAAGCCGTGGAGCAACTGACCGAAGGATTGCTCTCTCATTATTTGCCAGATCTGCAGAGATCCAAACAAGCCCTCCAGGAACTCACGTAAGCTAACCCAAAACCATTTGTCACTCATTTTCTTCTTGGCATAAGTCATAATGTGCTGTGCAAGTATAATTATGTACTGTGTTAAGATATATTTTATAACATTGAAACATAATTGAATATATATACATCTTTATTGATAGAAAGTGGTAATGAAGGAGTACATACAAATCAAATGTAAAAAATTGGAATAAGTGCTTTTAGAGTAGCACTGTAGGAAAAGTATAGGACTGCAGATGGTTTGAACCACATGGTCAGCGGTTCAATCTCACCAGCTGCTCCTTGGAAACTCTTTATAGGGTCGCGATGAGTCGAAACCATCTCGATGGCATTTAACAACAACAACAACAACAGCAACAGAGTATTTGAGCTCTTCTAATAAATACTCCTAAACCTTATCTGGAGTCCTGGTGTGGCACTGTAGAATAAGCACTGGACCACTAACTTCAGGGTCGGCAGTTCAAACCTACCAGCTGCTCCTTGGAGACCCTATACAGGATTGCTATAAGTTGGAACTGACTAGATAGCACATAAAAACAACAAAAACAACAAACCTTATCTGGAGTCCTGAAGTGGTGCTATAGGATAAGCATTAGACTGCTAACCACAAGGTCAGTGATTGAAACCCACCAGCTGCTCTTTGGAAATCCTATACAGGGTAGCTGTGAGTAGAAATTAACAACAACAACAGATCTCATCTAGACTCTAAATCATCCTGTTCTGTAATTATATCGTATTTTAGGATGCTGCAGGGTGGGTATACTGAGGTGAGTAATTGCCTCCATAAAAGTCACACTTAGGTTCAGTTTCTGGTTCAAACAAGTTGCCAAAATGTTTAACTTTTTTTGAGCTGACCTGTTTCAGAGGTACTGAGTGTTAGGGTACTCTTAAATTTAGTAGTGGTAACAGCCTGTTTCTGTTGTCCTGCTTTTCTTGGATGGCTGACTTGTTAGATTCCCGGATCATCTGTTCTGTATTTCACCTTCTGTGTTCTTCAATTAAAGCAAAGGAGCAAACTTCAAATATTTAAATATTCAGACTTCAAGTATTTGATTAGATGAACCCTCAATGTCACTTAGTCCTGTGGTCATAACATTGGTTGAATGTGGAGTGAATATGAAGGAAGTTGACTTTTCTTCCTCAACAGAATTTTAAAGAGAACCTTTGGAAATTGTTTGGTCTGATCTTCTCTTAAAGATGAGGGAAGTTGTGTGCCGTAGAGTCAGTTCCAACTCATAGTAACTCTGCATAGGGTTTCTGAGAGTAGCTGATTAGTTTGAACTGCCAACCTTGCAGTTACCAGTCCAGTGCTTATCCTACAGTGTCACACTAGGGAAGTATAGGTAATCCCCAGGTTACAAATACCGTCGTGGTTATGAGTCAGGCTGCTAACCTCAAGGTCAGCAGTTCGAAACTACCAGTTGTTCCATGGGAGAAAGATGAGGCTTTCTGCTCCCATAAATATTTACAGCTTTGGAAACCCTATACAGCGTCACTATGAGACAGAACCGACTCCACGGCACATAACCACCCCTTTTCATGTTCTGTAAATTTGTCCTCACTTTGCAAAGATTGAACCAACCCCAGTTATTGAGTGCATTCCAGTTTGTTCTGCTTCAGAGTGACCCTGTATAGGGTTTCTGAGGAATGCCTGGTAGATTTGAACTGCTGACCTTGGTTATTAGTTGTTGAGTTGGTTCCAAGAGTTTCCAAGGAGCAGCTGGTGGGTTTGAACCACTGACTTTGTGGATAGCAGTCCAGTGTTTGTCCTATAGGGCCACACCAGGACTAATACAACAGATTCTTTATCACAACCACCTTCACTTGCTGCACGTGCAGCTTTTAAATGATTGAAAAGATTTTAAACTAAAGTGCAAGAAACATAAGTACGTGTTCTGACTTATAAATATGACTTAAAGACAAACTTAGGAGCGGGTCTTGTTCATAACCTGAGCACTGTCTGTAAATGGAATTTGTAAGATCATATTACTGGTTATTGGCAAAGGGAGTATCTTATGATTTCTACTCCTTTGGGTTTTCCATTTTGCTTTTTATTTATTCTCTTTGTTTCATTATTCAGTCATCCTGCATCTTTCCCAGCTGTGCTTTGGAAAGTCATTGCTGCTAATCTCCTTTATGACAATATTATAATAATAAGATTTATTAAATGTGGAGTTTCTTGGGCAAGATAGTATAAGAAAATTCTTTTGGGTGAGATAATACAGAGTTGCTACAAATAATTTTAAAAGATTTAATTTAGGTATTAGTGTTTGAACATGAAGAGTGAAAATACACTTAATTACCAGGAGGTAACTTTAGGATATTATTTTGAAAAACAGATTGTTACCCCAAATAAACTGTGGAGATCATTTATCTGCATGTGTTTTTAATACTCTTCAGCTTAATTTTTAGCCTTTAACATTAACCAAGGCGAATGTGTTTCCATGTAATGAGCTAGTGTTTATAGTATGTAAATTTATTTTGGCTGTGTGCTTTTGTTTCAGACAGAACCAAGTTGTATTATTAGACACACTGGAACAAGAGATTTCAAAATTCAAGGAATGTCATTCTATGTTGGACATTAACGCTTTGGTAAGTACGCTTTAGTGGATTTGGATTACAATTTTTAAAATTTTTAATTTTTAAAATTAAACATAAAACCAAACGACCACCACTCGTCAGTCTGTCGTGCTGTGGTGGTTTGAGTTGCTGTGATTCTGAGGGCTATGCC